CGGCGGGCGGAGGGACAGGTGCTGGCGCAGGTGGCCAGGAAGGCCTGGCGGAAGCGGCGGTTCATGAAGCAGTAGATGAGCGGGTTGGTGCAGGCCGAGGCGTAGGACAGCAGGTGGATGAAGGAAATGGGGGTGCCAGCCAGGGCGCGCTGCGCGGCGGCCGGGGCAAAGGCGCGCCACGTGTTGGCGGTGAAGACGGGCAGCCAGCACAGGAAGAAGAGCACCACGATCACCACCAGCATCCGGATCACGCGTCGCTTGGCCCCCAGCTGCGCCTCTGACCGGCTGCTGCGCGCCCGCTCCAGCCCCGCGCCGCTCAGCGCGCTCAGCTCCAGCGCGCTGCCCCCCCGCGTCAGCTGCACGTAGCACCCGTCGCCTTCCTCGCTGCCCGCCTCCCCGCTGCTCCGGCCACCTGCAACACCGCGTGGACGGGTCACGGTCACCGTCGTGGGTGCTGGGCACCCAGGAGGACCTGGGCCCGGCAGCGCAGAGCAGGGGAGCAGAGCCCAGCCCAGCCCCACACTCACCGCCAGCCTCCCTCTTCATGTCCATCTCGAAGCGGATGCCGTGGTAGAGCTCACGCGAGATGAGCCCATAGGCCACGGCCATCACCACGCCGGGGATGAAGAACAGGACCAGCAGCAGCACCAGGTACCTGGGCAATGTAGTGCCGCCGGTCAGCGGGGCCGCTGCGCCCCTGCCCCACAGCCCAGCACGGCACAGCACTCACCAGGCCTTCCTGAAGTGTTGGCTGGGCCAGGAGTGGAGGCACTGGTAGACCGGGGGCCGCGGGGGCTGGGCCAGCGGCACCGTGGTGCTGAACACGGCGTAGGGCAGCATGAGCAGGGCTGAGAGCAGCCAGGTGCTGGCGATGACGCGGGCGGCATGGGAGCGCGTCTGCCAGGCCCGTGACTGCAGCGGGTTGCAGATGGCGCTGTAGCGCTCCAGTGCGATAGCCACCAGGCTGAAGGTGGAGACGCTCACCGACACGCCTGTGCCGGGGCGACCGTGAGCGCCAGGGCCGCCAGCAGCGCCCACCCACGCCGCCGGCTTCCCCAGCCGTGCCCTCGGCCTGCCCCGTGACGAGAGTTTCCCCCAGCAGTGCCCCCAGCCTGCTCACCGCTGTGACCTTCCGCCAGCAGTGCCCTCCTCCACCCCATGCCACAAACTTCCCCCAGCAGTGCCCCCGGCCGGGCAGGCACTCACCCATGAGGTAGGCCATGAGCTTGCAGACGACGTCGCCGAAGACGAAGGTGCCCATGAGGTTGGGGACGAGGCTGAAGGGCATGCAGCACAGCGCCAGCAGCAGGTCACTCAGCGCCAGCGAAAGCAGGAAGGCGTTGGTGACCGTGCGGAGGCGCCGGTTCAGGGCCAGCACGGCCACCACCAGCGCGTTGCCCAGCACGCTCAGCGCGAAGATCAGCCCGTAGAGCAGCACCCGCACCATCACCTCCAGCTCTGCGCCGCAGTGGGGGGAGGTTAGCGCCGCCCGGGTCCTCGCCCAGCCCGGGGAGGGGAGGGGGACTGGCAGCCCGGAGCCAGGTGCCCGCCCTGTGCTTCCCGCCTGCGCAGCGGCCTGGGGGCCGGGAGGCGCGGGGGGCAGCCAGGCCGGAGCAGAGGGGCGCGGGGACGGAGAGACCTGGGGGCCGTGCTCGCTGCCTGCCCCCGACGGCACGGACTCCCACCCCGGGCCTGGGGACGCCCCGGGAACCCCCGGCCCGGGCGTCCTGCCCGCGGCTCGCGGCGGGGCGCCGGCGCTGCTCG